GTTTAGACTGAGGTCAGCTCGCCGCCTTCCAGAGTTTAGACTGAGGTCAGCTCGCTGCCTTCCAGAGTTTAGACCGAGGTCAGCTCGCTGCCTTCCAGCGTTTAGACCGAGGTCAGCTCGCTGCCTTCCAGAGTTTAGACCGAGGTCAGCTCTCCGCCTTCGAGAGATTAGACTGAGGTCAGCTCGCCGCCTTCCAGCGTTTAGACCGAGGTCAGCTCTCCGCCTTCCAGCGTTTAGACCGAGGTCAGCCCTCCGCCTTCCAGCGTTTAGACCGAGGTCAGCTCGTGAGGAGAGCTGAAGGCGTTCGAGCGTTATTCTTAATCATGGCTTCATGTGAGAACTCGCTCTGCAGCTTTGGTTCGGCTGTGGTGCTCAGAGTAAAACATGGTTGTTGTCTCGGAGCGGGTCATGTCGCGTGGACTCACAGTTCCAGGTCTCGGGTAGGGGATCCGTCCCTTGAACTCAACCCAGCGATAGTCCGGCCCTTCTTTGTGAGCGTACGGTCCGTTGAAGGCCGCTCGGATCGATGCCATGGAGTAAACACACACAGCTGAGCCGCGGAACAACGAGCTGTGGAGGAAACGCAGGTGAGGGTCGGTGATTAGAGATGAGCAGGAAGAAGTTAAATCAGATCTGAAAAAGAAACGGGGTTAAAAAACAAGCAGCAGTGACCTTTGACCCCACTCACACCTGACCTCTCATCACGTGCATGACCGAGTGTGCACGTGCCAGCCAGGTTGTGAACCTGCACATAAATAAGGAAGATCTCCTTTCAGAACATCTGAAGAAGTTAAACTTTAAACTCTTTGAGACATTGAGGAGAAACAAAACCACCGCAGACCGGAGCAACACTGTCACTACTGAAGATTCCACCCCTCACCCCCCCCTCCCCACACACAATTTTTTAAATTCCATTTGTTGCATGAAGCAAACTTAAAAAAAGAAACGTGAAAAATAGTTTGGTACTGACACACTCACAAACAGGACCAGTGTTCAGTTTGTCCCTTTGGGGCCACCGTAGCAGTGGAATAAGGACGCAGCATCTCACCTGGATGTCCTGAAGATGCCGTAGACCGTCGGGTTTTGAGGATCTTTGGTTTCCAGAACGAAGATATCCTCTAGAAGGACCAAACAGAATCAGGTCACTTCTGGTCTAAACTGTTGCTTTTAGTAAATAATTGAATAAATAAATAAATACATACATAAATACATACATACATAAATAAATAAATAAATATTGTTTATTCTCTCATTTTAGCAGTAAATCTGAGCCATTATAATCCTGCAGAAAGTTTTTGAGTCATTCAGTCAAACAAAACCTTTAATTCTTCACATCTGACATCATTTTGACAAAGAACGAACGTGAAGACGTTCAGACGGTCTGACAGGAGGAGGAAGAGGAGGAGGAGGAGGAGGAGGAGTTTACCCAGCTCATCAAAGTGTGTGTCCACTCCAGACGGGCCGGGAACCGAACACACGAGCCTGGCTTTCAGGAAGGTGGTCCAGCGGTTGATGAGGCTCCTCTTCCCTCCAACATCGTTCTGGAGACAGAAAGACATAAATCAACAAAAACTAACGAGCACATCACACCTTACTCTCACTCCTGAAGGCAGAACTTCTACAAACACGATCTGCTCCGACTGAACTGGGTTTTGTTTTCAGGTTTACAAACTTTCACTTCCGTTCTGAGTTCTGTGGGTCAGAACCCGTCCTTCGGCTGCATCTTTTGGAATTTTCAGAACTCCTTGGAGAACTGCAGTCCTCTTTGTGGGTAAAAGATCTGGACTGAAGCTGAGAAGAAGCAGCCGAAGTCCAAAGAAAAACCTCCATAACATCTCAGGATCTCAGGACCACTGATTGGATTAAAACTTCTGCACAGCTCTGTATCTGAACACCTCTAGAGTGAAAGAGTCCAGTCCCAGCCGGACCTGCCCCCTGCTGGTTCTGGCTCTGCATCGGGTCGTACCTTGCAGACTCGGGCCACTCGGCTGTAGACCCTCTGGTCCCACGGGTCCAACTCCACGGCCTTCTCCCTGAAGAAGAAGTAGACTTTGTCGTCGTCTGGACTGTGAGTGTCGGGGATGGAGAAGGAGCCCACGAAGTCCGGTTCTGCGAGGAACACCGGACACTTTTAGTTCTGGTGTTGACGCCGTTCTACAGTTTACAAGACAGAACCTAAACGGACCGCATGGTTCTGGTCCAGCAGGGTGAACGCTGAGTCAGCAGTTCTTTTCTCTGATCTGTACGCTTTTTTAAATCAAACTATTTCGAGAAATTTGTAGCTTTTTCATCGGTCCTTGATCAAAACGTTTGGCTCGTTCAGGAACTGTGAGCTACAACTTTCAGGGTTTTTAACTTTTGTACTTTTTTAATCATTTAACTTTATTTAAAAAAAATCTTCCCCAAAGAAAATCAAATCTCCTCAGTTTGTTCAGAATCCTTGAGCTTTTTTTATTCTTATGCTACTTTAACTTTTAGCTGCTGTCCTTTTAATTTTAGCTGGTGTCTTTCTACTTTTAGACTTTAGCTGCTGTTCTACATTTAGCTTTTAGATACAATTATGCAAGTTTCAGTTTTTAGCTACATATTTGCTTTTTTAGTTTTAGCTATGGTTTAGCAATTTGTTTGGTTTTAGCTACAGATTTGCTCATTTAAATCAATTTAATAATTTGTCTCTGCTCAGTTTCAGCTTTAAGCTGAAGACCTTCTGGTGCACGGGTCAGCTGAACATGAACTGGCTGTTAAAGAACAGAAGAAGAGTTTCGGCTCACCGTTCAGCCAGTTGTGATCGTAGGCTTCAGTGCGAATGTAATGCTGGCTGCCGCCCCGGACCGATGTGCGGAATATCGCTGCGTTGGCTCCCATGAAATCCACTGAGGTGCCGGCGAACAGCTCCCCGTCTGAAGGGACGGAGACAGGAGGACAGCTTTAGAGACAACAAGCTGGACTTCACTCGATACTGAAAACGACAATATTTCTACGTTGATGCATCAACACCTCCTCCTGTTGAAGGGGTAAACACTGAGACAAGAAAAAATAATTTACCTTTCGTTTCGGCGCCTAAATTAAATTAATTCAGTTTCCTGTCTGTGTTCGTTTGAGGATCAGTTTCTTCAAGGTGTCTACAGCTGCAATAAAACGTTTGTGGGAGTGGGTCAGAGACTAAACATATTGAGAAAAGATGCTGAATGACCTGAAACAGACTCTGAGCTGTTGAAGCGAAAAGCAGCAGAACACCAGCCGAAAGCTAAAAGGGTAAAACGTAGCTCAAACGGTAAATGTCCAAGTTCGGACCGCTGCCCGGTTCTGGGAAGGGTTCTGACCCGAGGTTTCATCTTCTACAGATGACTCTGGTGCCAGTCGAACCCGTTTAAAGGTTCTGAAGGTTCTGACCTTCTGGTG